TCCCCGGCGTTGTGACGTCGTATGATTTGTGTGCGATTTTTACCAATTAACCCTAAAGTAAAAAATAGTTGAGCCATGTAGTACCTTGGAAATCAACTCAGAAACCCGGTAGTTTGTTGATTGTTTATTGGTAGCGTCCTTTCGCTGCCAAGTTTTTTGGCAGTTGCGTCCCGCTGACATCCCCTTTTCAAATGTTAAAGAATAACCAACATAAATTTTAAGTATTAAAGTGCCATTCTCCAACTTTATCTCATGCAGCCATAAACATGACAGGGCTCAGGTGGATATGGTAATTTTCCTTGTTTTTATGTATGACATTGCCATTTTCCGGCATCAAAATTCCCCAATTTTTAACATTTTCTCACCTCCATGATGGGTACAGGTATAGGCCTTTGTGGATATAGTAATTTTTGTTGTTTTTATGTATTTGCCATTTTCCTGCATCTAAAAGTCTCTAATTCTTAAAATTCTTTTACCTCAGCCTCAACCATGGTGGGCTGAGATAGATGGATTAAAATTTTCATAAATTTTTAGTATCCGAGTGTTGTTTTGGGGCATCTATAAAGTCTCAAATTCTTGCAATTGACTCATCTGCGCCCCAAAACCATAATGGGGCTCAGGTGGATATCGTAAAGTTCCATTTTGGGGCATCCGGTGGTATAAAATACTGAAATTTTTGCGTCACCGCCCACCACGATGGTACTGACGTGATGACATCAGCACCCCCTTCTTTAAAATATGGATACGCCACTTTGCTGAAAACAATAGTTAAGACAAATATATTTCCATTCGTTTTGTTTTTCATGTAAATGTCTGATAGGTTATTACTTTAAAACAATGCTAAAAACACTGTGTCAATACGAACATTTACACGTGTAAGACTGAGCTGAGCGACTCCGAATTAAGGTGAAATTAGTAGTGGTTATGTGACGTTTGTCATGCACTGTATTATGCGCTATAGAAATGGAAGACCATAATGTAATGGGAATGAACGTCTCTGGTATTGCCGACAGTACAATCAGTGTAAAATATAGGCTAGTGTGGATTTAAAAAATGTCATAATGGCAATGTTCAAAATAAATGTAAATCAAATAAATATGACTGTTGGGGTGAGAGGGGATGTATCTTTGTAGTTAGGCAGTTATATACTGTCTTTATGTCTAAACAAACTTTAATTCTAACACCGGGTCTCCATTTTAAAAGCTCCTAAGAGTTTCGTGGAGGTCCTTTTCGTCGCTCTGTTTTTGAATATGTATGGTTGAGTTTACTTTGTCATGAATTGCAAAGAACATGAATAAAGAAATAAAATGAAAAATGTAAAAAGTATGTCTGTATGCGTACAACAACCAGATAATAGAATTTACTAATAGATCAATAACTTTCCAATGATAACCACATGAACTACGTTACTCCAACAAATTTTATAAACAATAGCAGTATTGTACAAATAAACAGCATCATACTTTTTATGTTAATCATCTATTTATTTTGGCGCACATTGATCATACAGTGCTCTTATCATTCCTATCATTATCAAAATCGAACGCACAATGAACAGATCATAATTATGCCTATACAAAAAAAAATATTAGATCATCACTCCAGCCCGCGTCAACAAAATTGGGAAATATTGATGCGGAAATTTAAAAAAATGTTTCTTTTTCTTTGGCCGCATCATTTTTCAACAGCATAAAAAACAATGTAACTTTGTGATTGGAAATACGTTTTCTTTAAAAAAAAAAAACAATAAAAATTAAACCTGTTTTTATACAATATTTACAATATTCTTGCCAAATAAAAACAGTCCCTCCCTGTTTATTCACTTACCATATACATTCAGAACAAATAATAGAACTTTATTATCTGTTAACCTAAAAATCCATTAAATACGACTTGCTATACATAAGGCTATAAGCGTCTTCCACGTCTTCCCCGGAACCAACTGGGGCTTTCCCCTGCCTCCCAGGCAAAGCTTGAGCAAATTGTTAGCTCAAAAATAGAATAATAGAAATTTTAAAGTAATTCGTATATAACTCGCACAGGTTGTTGCTCGCACAAGTGGATCTTCTTCCGCTCGAACTAGCATCCGCTCGAAAAAAATCCGTTCGAAGTCGCTCGAATTGGCCTTCGCTCGAAGTGGCATCCGCTCGAATTGACTGGTTCCCAGGCTGGGACATGAAAGGTTGTTGTTTGTTGTTATTTCGCAGTTCGCGACGTCATCAACGAGCACAATACATTTATTCCTGTAACATGATTGGTCTATTTTTTCTAATTTGCATATTTAATTTTCCAACATTTTTGTCTATTTTAAAAAAAGTGTGTAAGTTATGGAGATGGTAACAATCATAAATCGATTATAAATTTAATTATACATTTTTAGACAAAAAATACAACCCTCTTGGCCCACTGCCCATTTTTTTGACACCATGACCATGCGTAATATTAACCTGCAGTGTATATATACGAAGAATTTTTTCTAGTAGGATTAGAGTTGACTAACTGGTACTAGGTTTATCGCATTTACGGCCGCGGTTTACCTCCCTCTGTTTGGTCATGCTGTATAAGGAGTAGTAAACTCAGCGATCGTGGGTTCGATTCCCACACGGGGCAAGTTTTTTTGGTTTTTTTTAAGGTCGTGGGTTCGATTCCCACACGAGCCAGTTTTTTTTATTTTTTTTTTATTTTTAAAGGCAGTTTAGTTGATGGTGGATAATGATAGCAAATCTAGAGGTTGTGTGTTCGATTCCAACACAAGCCAGTTTTTTTTTTTTTGTTTTTGTTTTGTTTTGTTTTTTTTAGGGTTGAATGTGGATTGTTAGGGTTGAAGGTGGATTCGATTCCCACACGAGCCAATTGTTTTTTGTTGTTTTTTTTTTTTTTGTTTTTTTTTTTTTTGTTTCTTTGTTTTGTTTTTTGTTGTTTTTTTTTTGCGGGTGTAATTCCTAGACAGGATTGTTCATTCAAATTGAAATTAGTGTTTTGATGGTGATTTTTTTTTTTTTTTTTTCATTTAATGGGAATTCATATATTTTATATGAGAAGAATCTATGAATATTCAGCTTTCCGTTTACTGGATCCGCCACTGATTATAGCTCTGGAGTTGGAACATGACTGAAGTCCGTTTTGGTATACCAAATATACCTAAATAACTTGATTTAGTGGACGCCATGTGGCAATTCTATCGGCCGCTGCTAGCGGATATGGAAAGCCAAAAGAGCACATTGTTTTGAGGCTCACAGACATAATCACATGACAGTGCATGTCATTGCTGTCATTAATAGAGGAGTTATTACCGGTTTCCACTAACAACCAACATAAACCTGTGGTTGCAGGAATAGGGGACATTTTCCCCCCGAAAATTTTATTTCCCCCATTTCCCCCCCCCCCGGAAAACGAACAGTAAGATTGACAAACACAACTATTGCTCCGACGGTCGGTCTGTCTGTCATTTCAAGGCCAATAGCCACTTAAAAACAATGCATTCATAACAAACTTTTTAAATTTGTAATAAATATATTGAGCATTAAAACATTATTGCTTCCCCTAAAATTGTATCTTGTCCACCTCCCGCCGCCTCCCCCAACCCCGACATTTCAGATGCTGGCGCACCATTGGGTTGTCCATGCACCATTGGGTTGTCATGTGCACTTTAAAGAGCCGTGTCTCTGTCGAGACGAGTAGGGGTTACCCCAGTGTACTGGTCCATTCAGTCCCTGCTGTGGACAGACGAGAGTAGGTGTTACCGGTTTACCGGGTAGCTCAGACATGAAGAGACCCTTAGGGAGAAGCAAGTTACTGTGAGCTTCCACGCCTTGGGCGCTTTGAGATCGTTCCGGTGTAAAGCGCCTATATAAATCTAACGTACATAACGTACATACATCATATAATAGTGTTATGTACATTGAGTTAGCTAAAATAAATGTGTAAACGGGAGTATAAATTATCAGCAAATAATTATGTAAAAGAATAAACATGACAAAAAATAACAAAATGCAAAAGAAATATGTGTCAATGTTCATTCTCATATTATATAACATTAAAGATTTCGACAAATAACGTTGAATTTATATAAATTGTTACAACAATATTCAGTATTTATTCATGTTTCTGTAAACCTGAATGTTCATAAACACTGAAAAATTGTCATTATCCTATATTTATTATATAAATCAACTCTCTGTCATTATAAAAGCATACGATGCCTCTTGATCACGCACGACTTAAATTTTGCACAAACCATCATTCGGTACTCACATGCTGCATCCATCAACAAAAATCAGCAGATATGAAATGACAGAAGTAACAATGTCTTGCAAGAAAGTAAAATTCACTAGAACCGTACGTAGTACAATTATCATGATAATGTGTTGCACATCTAATCAATAATGAAGGTATCCTAAAAAAGACCAATAACAACATAAGTTAATGTGTAGACGAGAATGCTAAAAAACAAAGACAATTAACATAAAAACATTAAAAAACGTATTTAAACTAAATATATAGCAAATATGCTTTATTCAGATATAAAACTATAAGTCGTATTCCATATTTCATGTTGAAATCAAAATGCGTTATCACAATATAATACCTCTCTTAAAAATCTTGTAAATTTGTCTGGAAGGCATTATTTATACAATTACAAAATTATTATTCCGATAAATATATTATGAAAATAGAAAATAGTATTATTTAAGTAGAAATGTATTTATAAAATTACATGCAATAGTGCTCATAACGACAGCATTTAACAGACACTGAGAGCTGATAATAATCTGATGACGTCATCAATTGGTGGTCGCGTTTTTTTACATTTCACTCCCAGGTCATTCAATTTCTGCCATTTAGTAGCCTCGGCTAATTCACACATCACCATGCTTAGTGCGAAGATGTCACTAGATGTTGCCTCTGCTGCCGGTGGTTCTACGAGTTGAGAAGTAATGCCGCCCAAGTCAATGATCTTTCCTACCCATTGCCCGTGTTCATAATCCAGGAGAATGTTTTCAGACTTGATGTCGTTGTGCACAATGTTGTTCTTGTGCAAGTAACCGATTCCAACAGATACGTTCAGCAAGATGTTTTTCAATGAATCCTTGTTGATATTTATTATACATTTCTCAGAGATCGCTGAGCGAAGCGACACAGACTTCATGCTGGCGTGATCACCAATGAATGTCGAAACAAGCTTAATTGGTGTTTCTTCAGTGTTTCTGACAATTCCAAGCATCACTGGAAACGACGGATGAGCTGAACATAGTTGCATGGTACGACCCTCAAGAATGATGTTATCTGGGGCGCTGTTAAAGATGGTTTTGACAGCAACAATAGTATTAGTCGGAACGTATTTCATTAGAGAAACTTGACCAAATGCACCTTCGCCAAGAATAACTAGTTTTCCACCCCTAATGACTGGTTTTAGATCGTTGTCGTTAATTATGTTTACGGTCGGAAGCAGATCCATCAGCAGTTCGGTCTTGCTCTTCTTGGCGTTGGAATTGTCAGCTGGCTGATTTACTGGAGTTGCTTGAAGTCTATAATAAGAAATAATTGAAAATGTTATATTATATTTTATATTCAATAAAATGAATATACACATTATTCGTTTTAATGAACTTTTGAAATTATATATGTATGAAATACCTTTGACCATGCTCAAACATTTCTCGAGCCTCATTTTCTCTTTGCTTAAGAAGGTTCTGAAGGACTTGCAATTGTTGTATCTTATCTTGGCAGTCGGTACATCTACAAAACATTTTGTAGAAGATAAAAAGGTGAAGTTAATTTTATTGTTCATTAGGTTTACTTTCTTTTCATATAGGTAGGTCGTGGTGACAATAGTTATAAGAGTAAAACGTACCCATAGTTACTTGCATTTTCAGTTGCTGGTTTATTTTTCAACAAATGTTTAGCTTCTTTTAGCTGGGCCTTTGTATCTCTGTATTTGCTTTCATACCTAGTTTGCAACAGTAAATCACATCATTTGTATTTTATTCATATACTATGAAAAAAAAATACACTACATTATACAATATTATGACGGACCCTGGTGATTGTGTGGTTCACATGATGGATACGTACTTTTACCAATACAAGGAGCAAGATCAAAAGATGACAGCAGTGACAGCAATTAAAAATACATAATAACAATACACAATACAATTCAAACTTTTATGTAATAAGTTGTGAATGACCAATTTCTGAGAGTATATCTAATTCTTACTTCTTCATTTCTTTTTCAGCATGGTTTAATTGTTTCTGTAATCTTGCAGACTCTCCGTTCGATGTCTGGTTACTTTTGCTGATGTCCGAGGCTAAAGCATGTTGACGGGCTTGTTGAGATAACTTACGAATTTCGTTCTTGGCATTTAAAAGCTCAGACTCTTTATTCTTTAACAATCCTTCGATGTGATGAAATTCGCAAGCGGCCAACGCCGAACTATTACGTTCATGTTTAAGACTGTAAAAATGACGGTAATAGATACTAAGGAATTCCTTTCATAAATACAATATTGCAGTGATTTTTATTAAAAGTAAAAATGCTGTGCCAAACAATGGCTGGATCTAAATAATTATATAAATTCTGAACGTTAAAGAAGAGGAATCTGTGATTCGAACCAGGACCTACTGTTGTCTGCTGGCGCCTTAACCAAATGAACCATTGAGGCTTTGTTGGGAATTCAAATCTGATTGAGCATCTAAATCTTTACACTCGTATATATTTATAGCAGAACCGCAAGACGGTTTAGAGTACATCTGTATATTTCTAGTTCTGTACTGTCCTTACCTATTGTTCGCTGCCTCAAGTTCAAGATTTATTGACGTTATTTGAAGTTCGTATGCTTTCAATAATTCATTTTTCTCATAAGAAACCTTCTTTAACTCATCCCTTTCTTCCATAAATTCTTTTGTCCTTAGTTCTTTAGCTTTTTCTCTAAAAAATGAAACAATCCATTGTATTATCACTAATATTAACTTACGGTAGTTTTTATTTATACCACATTATTTTTTGCCTTACCACAGGTGAGTGGTCAAGAGGGAGTCGAATCGATATATTTAATCCTACCTTGCACAGGCGTGAAAAAAACGCTAGTGCTCAACGCATTGTAACAGAGTTCAATGTCATAAAACATTTTAAGCGATTCAAGTGACAAGACAGTATACGGTATAATATGACATGACACTACACGACACGATGCGACAAGTAAGTTATGAATATGATATAGGGCCTACTCTACTCATCACTGCCAGGAATTGAGCATCCTATCTCTCTGCTATCAAGGGGAGTGCCATACTACTATGGGCATTTTTTCAAAAAATTAATAAGGAACTTTTACGTTGATAAGCTATAGGCCTCCCATACGATCATCGTTACTTTGTATGTGAAGCCGGGCACTCACTACGCCCGATGGTCATCAGCCGATGCAATTCTATGAAAAACGCAACGCAACGACAACCGCGCAACTGATACTAATAAAGACAATCACTCAGTACGTTCAGACTGCCACCGACAATCAGCCAGCAGACGGCGTCGCATCGTCTAGCGCTCATTATAGGGAGCGGAGTTGGATTCGTCGTACGACGGTTGCACAACGCAGTAAGTGCCAGCCTTAACGCGACACGGTCGATGTATACACGACGCAAATCCTAGCTATAAAATTGTCGGGAATTTATATGAAACGAACGTTTATTTGTAGCTACCGTTTGTTTGCAGCTTCGAGTTCAGATTTAACTGATTCAATTTGCAATTCTTTTGCTTTCAACAGTTCATCCCGCCTCTCATAACATTCCTCTTTTTCTTCCTTTAGTTCTTTAATCACTGATTCACGAACTTCTTCTCTATAAAATATAAACAGCTCATATTTATTAGGCCTAAAAAATGTTTGTTTGCCTTCCCGCCCCTACCTCACTATGGAAAATAGGGGCGGCATTTAAAAAAAAAAGTTTTTCTTTTCGATTTTTTGTTCACAAATTTAAGAAAGTGATCTTTTTTTTGCATGAAAGTTGTCTAAATTTGGTGTCTGATCGCCATTCTTTGGTATCGCCATTCTAGTTCTAAATTCATGGCAAAATATTACAATACAATACAATACAAATCTTTCTTTATTCTGAATGGCTCTTTCAATACAATAAAGTACTGGTCTCCCAAGAGGTCCAGATTTATAGGAACATTACAAGAAAATAAAAGAAAGGTAAAAATTTAAAGTAAAAACTATGTACAATAGAAATTATAAAAGATTTTTAGTTCGCCCTCCAATTCGGGACCACCTTTTGGGGATGAGCATTTGGGGTTGTCTCGAAGTTAGAGATTTCTCGAACAGGGTGCACTGTATTGTCTGTTATTTCAATATAAAATTTCTCTTACTTTTTATTCGAATCGTCTTTCATAGTCAAGATAGAGTCGAATTTTTTTCTCAGCTGTTGTGTCTCTCGCTGAAATCTTTCTTTTAACCAATAGGCTTTCACATCACTTTTTTTACGCGCGCACATTTGGTTACCGAGAAATTCTTGTAGCTGCTTATTGAGTTCATTTATTCGTACGATATTTTTTTCAACTCGACAAAGATACAATCCCATAATCTGTAATTATAACAATAAATCAAATATAATGATAATTATTATGAAAATATTATAATTATCATTATTATTATCACTGCCATCATCATCATTAGCATCGTCATCGTTTATTGTTGCTGCAGTTGTTGTTTATGTTGTTGTTTTTGTTGTTGCTGTTGTTGTTGTTATAAACCAGGGACGTGGATCGTTTATGCTCCTACCTTATTGCTTTCCATGTTGGTCAATGGAGCATCTTGATTGCAACTATTGATCTTGGCTGCTGGGATAGGAGCATCAATGAGGCTTGCTTTAGTGAGCGACTTCTTGATAACTTCGTCCGAAGTATCAAAGTTTGTTAAATATTGCAAGCATGTTTGTACTTGCTGACACAAGCTAGGTAAATAAATTAACAACATCATTAAGCACAAGTCCAATGGGATATCTTCGAGACAAACAATGAGGTTGGCTGTAGTGTCAAGGATTCTCTTGTTACGCCACCAAAATAAAGTTAGGTATTCGATAAACCATGGAGGAAATATATTAATATATTTCCTCCACGGATATACCGTATACCTATACTGTTTATACTAAATGTTATCCTAGTAAAATAATTTATATATAAAATATAAAATTGTTAAAGAAAACAATATTGTCTCCGAACCCGATCTTTGTTTATTTAACAAAATTACATGAACTAAAAAATTAGGAATAACATGGGCCTAATTTTCAACCACTTCTTATAATTAAGTTTTCATATAAATTTGATATAATTTTTTAATGCAACGTTAAATAAGTTTGCAAAAGGCTCAATCAAAGTTTTGACTTGGGGCCTAAAAAGACCCATGTCGAAAATGCTCGAATGAACCTTCAATCAGACAATAAAAGCAAATCCGTAACAAAATGCATCATTATTCTTAATTCACTAATGTACAAGCATTTGATAAAAAAGATTGTAAAGATAAACCAATATTTACATTGCCTGAACTGGTTTTCCTTTCGAATTCATGATCTTGACGGTAAATAATTTATGACTTTATAGAGCGTTATGATAGCATGTATTCACAGATTATAATCAATCGAAGAATTTGCAATTTTGTGGCGATTTTTCTTTGCTTTTATACTTTTTTGTGTGTGACGTTTTACAAATACGTCAAAAACACAATACATTTCCGCGCGCGTATTCTATACAACATTCTAATACGCACATTGTACTAACCAATCGGGATTCTCTGTTGGGACTCACGTAAGGCGCGATGGAAGCTCAGGTCGCGCTTGCGTAAAACTAGTACCTTCACGACGAAATGTGTCCACTGCACAAAATAACGCGCAGCGCAAGCGTATATATTCGCGCGAAAAGTATGAACATCGCGCTTTTTACAGCTTTGAATTAATAATTACATAAAATTTTAAGATCAAAAATTCATTACATGCAAATAATAAATAAAGTCAGGCTCATCAGGAACTTTTTTGGAGAGAGAGACACACAAAGAGTGTTTGAAAAAAAAAACCGTTAATGAGATACAGGTTTTTTAATATTTAAAAACTGGAAAGGTGCTTACGCCCCCTTTAAATACTTGCAAATATATTAAATAATAATATTTAATATTATCTTTAATAATATTGTTTAAATACTTGCAAATCTGTATCGTTCCCGAGTTTGCTTTTTGTGTCTTAGTAAAATCATTTCATAACATTTTTCCTCTTGAGCCAGGCAACATGAATTAATTTACAGTACTGTATTTACAATACTAATGTTAAAAGATGTTTAATTGGCCTACGTTCTTACTGGACTGTATTTTGTTCTTTTTACCTTGTAAAAGTGCCAGTGGAAACAATTTTCTGACCTTTATTTATCGGACAATAAAATTATCTTGTATATCTTGTATAAAAATTTGTGTTAACTAATAAATTTACACTTGGCGCCTCATAGATCCCTACGTTTACTGTCTCGTCGTATGAGGGTAGTCACTTCTTAGCGGTCACAACAGCGAGGTTTTATGAATATGTATTACCGCAAACCGTTCGACACGCTCGATCGCTCAAAGGAGGTATAGGTAACTAGGCTGCCGCGAAACTTTAAAATGTTGTATCATGTATCGTTCTGTTACATGCGAGACTTCCCCAGAGATGATGAAGATGAATTCCGAGGACGATGGCGATTTTATTTCAACAAAACGTAAATACAGTGCAGACAGTAGGAATAATAATATTATTATCGTAATGGTGAACTCTGAAATTGGCACACGCAATCTCAGCGTATGAGAAGGAAACAATTTCCAAATATGTCATTGAACACATTGACAAAGCATATACCAAAGAAGGTAGGGACAAATTTATAATATCTTCTTATATA